CTAACCAAGAGTACATTGTGATTGTATTCCATGTGTATTCAGATGCTTTCTGAAGCATAAAACATAAAATTTTCGTTTTTAGGAAAGAAAAACATTAGCAACCATGTTGATAATTTTTAAAACTTTATTATGGAACTGAAAAACTCAATTAAAACCATATCACCATCTTGAAATCCTATAAAATTACCTAATTTCATTTATTATTCTAAGGTATATTTATTTGTATTTTTCCAAAGCAATGATCATTTTCCCAGTAAGATAATGACGTAATTTTAGTATATTAGTTAGATTCTTTAGCTCTATAAAACATTGTACTCAAAGTACAAAAATAAATGCTTTATGCACACTCTTTAATACTGTTTTTTATTTATCTTTCTTTTGGTACTCAAGATAAATCCATATAAATAATAATAAAATGAAAAGAAGCAAGAGATTGTTAACACCTGGAAAATGGAAAATGGAAGTAGAGTTTGCTTAAAGCTTCCTTTTTATTAAAAGATAAGAGATAATAATATTTAACCAAATTGCAGCGGCAAAAATTCATTAAAAAAAGAGGTTTCTACCTGAGAGTGATTAAATACTTAAACCAAGATAATGGTGATTGACTTAAATAGACATATTTGCAGTTTGAGCTTTCAGATATCTCCTAGAAATTATAATAGGCAACAACAAAATTAAAATTGTGTATTTTCAAAAGGTGAAGACTATGCTGCAAATCATTTACTGTCAAAGCATGGAGAAATGGCTTGTTAAATAGCATTCTGAGTTTTATAAACACACGCATACTTAGAAAACAGAAATACTTAATAACCAAAACATTTTCAAGTAAATAAGCCCGTTGCCGACTGATGAGCCCCTTACGTAATTGTGTACATTCTTTACAGCTGTAGTTAAAAGAACCAAACCCTTTTTTTCTACTTTTGTATAGATTTTAGTATTTTTCTGGGAAGAAAAACTTTAAAACTCATTTGAAAAAAAAAAAAAAAAAAAAAAAAAAAAAAAAAAAACAATCATTGCTCACGCTGGGTGGGAGTGCTAGAGACATATCAGTTAAGGGTGGAATTGGTTTATTGGGGAGTCTGACCAAGTAACAAAAGCTACCAGCCGATCCAGTCCTGTTCAGTTTTGAACAGTGTACGATGGGCCCCTGGATTGTATGTTTACTGCAAGGAGGTACAGAATCGATAGCAATGGGTGGGTGCATAGTAAACAAAGAACTCAGTAAAGGAAGACACATTCTGTCATGAATGAACAGGTGTGTCAGTCACTACAGCTTGTAAAATTCTCAGCATTAGTAAAGGGAATAAACAGAAGGTGAGAATTTCATGAAAAGAAACATAACCAGTCAATGCTATTTTCCATTAAAAAGTGATGAAAGCCCTTGTATAGGAGAAGGTAAAGAGTTTTGGTCAGGACGTTGAAGAACAACAGGAAGAGTGAAGTTCAATGCAAAGGAAATTGTGTTTGGAAACATTCGTGAAGCAGAAGGGAAAAGGCAAAGTGGATACATTTACATAAGAAATTCTTTCCAGTTTGAAGTATAACTAGCTTAATTGAAGGAAAGAGAACCAGCAAAATCCTCCAGGATCTTCTGGTGCTGTGTGAATCTTGGCAGGGTAAGCAAACATTCCCAAGAGCCATCTTTTATTTTGTCTCCCTATCCAGTAGATGGTACAGGTTCTGCCAAATGAAGGTGGGACTCAGGTCCCTAGCCCAGGGAGAGAGAAGAGAATAGGGCTCAGAAACAAGCTAGTGGGAAGAACCCTAGGGGGAGGGTGGCTTTCAGATGACTTGGCGGAGAGGTAATACATTCCTTCAGCTCACTGTGGTCCTGCACCAATCAGCAGCTGAGCCAGTGAATTCAAAGTGCATAACCCCCCTCCCCCCAACCCATCCCACCAGAAGAGCAGGATGCCATAGTCCGAAGACTGCAAAATCCAAACAATGTAGCAACCCACAAAGCATAAGTGGGGGAGGGTACTTCTGTGGGGAGATATTTGGGATTAAGAGGGGACACTGTCTTTTTGGGGTTCACAGTCAACAGGACAATGCTAATCCCTGAGCTGGGGGAAATACTTTTCAGTCCCCAAAATGTTCTTGTGACTTCCTTTCCCAAGAACCTTTCTTCCTTCCTTCCTTTCTTTCTTCCTTCCTTCCTTCCTTCCTTCCCTTTTTCTTTCCTTCCTTCCTTCCTTCTTTCCTTCCTTCCTCTCTCTCTTCCTTTTTTCTTTGTCTTTTTTTTTTTTTTTCTGTTTCTTGATACCTTGTTTTCTATTACACAAGGCCTAAGAGAAAAGAGAGCAAGCTATGTTCTTCCTCTTGATTTCTCTCTGAGTAGAGAAATGTTTGTTGGAAGGGGCAGTATCATGTTCTAGACTTTACTCCAAACACATTTGAAAGAATGAAGGCCTTTGGTTTCTAATTCTTTCTCTCTTAGATTAGTTATTCATTAATTCATTAAAAAACATTCACTCCAAAATCAAGGTGAACCAAGAACACAAATTTCCAGATTCTGTGTGCACTAGATATGCATTGCTGTACTGTTTTTGTTGTATAAACATTTTAAGGAAATTTAGCATTTGAAAATATTGGACATTGGTGATTATAGAATATTCTATGCTAAAGTTTGGTTTAATAAAATATAATGTTTTAGTTCACAAGTAAAGGGCTATATAAAGTATCATTTTTCTAATGGTTTTACTCATGATAATATGATCCACTTTGTTCTAAGATTGACACATACAAATTTGAGGCCCGGAAAGCAATTATACCTGCTAGGAATATGTTAGAGTTAAATTCAGGGCATTTCAAAGACACCACAAGCATGAAGGAAGCCTCATCATTGAGCTTGAGGACCACTTAAAAGTGGTGCTGATGGTGTCACATCAAGTAGTAATGTATACTGCCTCATTTGCGTCTTCTGTACAAGCTATAAAAACTCATGGCATAGTGTCATTACTTTCTTTTTAAAGCATTCATGAAAAAATTCATTATCTATCACTCTGATTTTAAATTCAATTTTTATGTCATATATATATATATATATATATATGCAATATATAAAATCTCTTCATACAATACAAAGTGTGCCAATTCTCCAGGTTAAGTTTTAGATATGCTCCCCTGCCAACTTTTATATAAATTCAAGGAGAGGATATGTGGCCACAACTACATGTGAGTACTGTGTACGCTATACCCCCACCCCCTTCCCTTATGTATTACTTTTAAGAAGTCTTGTGTAGGGCCGAGTTGCTCAACAGTAGCAAACTTAATCAACTTCTTTTAAATTAAAGAAATTATACTCCCAGATATTAGCTTTGTTTACTTATTTTTGGCTCTTATTCCACAAATGACAGCCTGGTGCCATCTCCCTGACAACATAGATTTAAGTCATGGCTCGGGTGACCAAGACAAAATTCTTAAGAGTCATGTAAAATTAATTTAAATTGAAAAGTATAGATAAAGCATTTTGCTGTTCTATGTGACTGAAAGAACTTTTTTAAAACCTTTAAAATGAAATAAAAACTAATTTTGTGTGGTAACGTATGGCCCTCCTTGTTACATACTTTTTGATGTCACTACTTTGTTAGATGAGGTAGTTTGCCAGCAGTGCTTTGAGTAGTGCTGTTTGGCCTGATCTTGTGTTGGCTTCTGGACACACCTTTAGTCTGCTGAAGTAGCAGGTGCTTCTTTTGACTTACTTAGGGTGTGGGATGGGAGAACAGCAGTTGACAGGTGACAAAGGTGAGACCCAGTTTTACCTGGTTGGGTTTTCTCTATTCCAAGTAACATCAAACAGGGATTTTAGCAACACACTGTTAACAGCCAGACTTTAAAAATCAAGTGCTCAATTGTTAGATGATTCTAAGTGATTGTTCAGGGTCTTTTCCTGGTACTATTTGGTTGCCCTGCTGGTTTTATGTTTTCCTCTGAAGAACTAAGACCTATGCATGGAAGAAGTGGATTAGGAGTCAGATGGGCAGACACTGTCAGAGCTAATTTACTAAATGTAAAAGATGAACATTATGACTGTTTGGAGCTGGGTGTGGTGTTGTGCATCAACAATCCCAGCACAGGGGTGTTAGCGACAGGGGCATCACAAGTTCCCAGCCAGCCTAGGCCACAGAGTGAGAAAGGCAAAACAAGTTCACTTTTGTCTTTGAAAGGGCTTTATGGCCAATTTCTCATGATGAAAATATCATAGTAAATTATGTAGATCAGATTTACTTTACCAGTGTTTGAGCTCAGCCAAATGAATCTGAGATGAAAGCAAATAGTATGAACAAGTCAGGATTTCCAGACAAGAAAATGTCGTTTTTTCACTCCAGTACTAGGTGCTGGCATGGTTTCTGTGATTCAGGCAGCCTAGGGTGGGTAGCAATTTTGAAGGAAAATGGTAGCTTAAGGTGTTGAATAAACACGGGGCTTAGATTTGTCTCAAGCATATCTGAAAGACATCATATTGATTTCTAGGAAGTTCCCATAGGCTTAGTTGCTGATCTAAGACATAATGAGGGGAGAAAATTTTCAGGGCAAATGTGACAATAGAATCTACAACATTTTAGGCAGTTTTCATGAGTCCTGGGATTACCCTATGCTGTGGGCGATGCTGAATACCTCTTATTTTCCTATGGTCTCTTTTGACTTTGTGAGTGATGAAGTAGCCTTGAGCCAGTGACTGAGACAGGAGTTTTCCTGTCTGCCTTGCTACTAACTGCCTAGCTCTGCCTGGCCCCATCTCATAGTACTGAGAGCTTATATCAAATTGTTAAGGTTTTATCACCTTCCCAAGACACTTAGGATCCTTGGCAGAAAACTTTTGCTGTCAGTGGCTGTTCAAATTTCTTTTACACAAACAGCTTCTTAACATTTGATTTCATTGGAGAATAATATTTACATTTCACGAGTAATATGATGAGCAAGTCACACAGTCTCGGGAAAGGCATTGAGTTGGGGGAAGGTATGACTTAGGATCATGAGGGATCTGGTGAGAGGTTCATATCTTCTACTGAGCATTCTGTAAGTCTCATTCTTAGGAGAAAGGGATCTTCAGAAGGCTCCATAAGCATCTCCTCGGGTAGTCACTGCAAATGTAGGGTAGACCTCATAGGCTGTATATGCTGCTAAGTCTTGTCCAAGTGTCACTGCTTGCTTGAGTTGGGCTGCAGACACAGGGGCAGTGGCACTGGGGACAGCATATCCTGGAGGAGGAGGCAGAGAACATTTTTGAAACAAATTCAGATTTCCTCCCTTTTTGGCACATCATTTTCTTTTAGCAATATGAAGAATTAGCATATTGCTTAAAGCAAATGATATGTATAATGAAAATGCACTCTGAGAAGATATAGTCTGTCCACTCAGTTGTGTAGAATAGCATTGGGTTTTTGTTTGGTTTGTTTTGATTTTTCTCTTTTAGGTTTTCAACACAGGATCTTTCTTTGTAGCTCCTGGAACTCACTTGTAGACCAGGCTAGTCTGAAATTCATAGAGATCTGCCTGTATCTGCCTCTTGAGTGCCAGGATTAAAGGCAAACACCATCCAGCTGGATTAAAAGATGGAAGACTGAAGATGACATTCTACAGAGGGAACCAACTTCCCTGTGTCAAGCTTACTTCACATCAGCAAATAGAGACATCAGAGAGAGGGTTCAAAGAACAGAAAGTACCGTATGTTGCTGGCCAGCAACACAGAACTTTCCCAGGGATGCATATACAGAAATGTATACATGAGGCAGGCTGTTGAGGAGTTGGCAGGCATAGGAATGGTTGGTTCGATGGGTCTGGTTCTGCTGAATACTATACTGTCCTGAAATCTCACTCTTAAAATATTAAAAATGTCAGGGCATGATGGTTCATGCCTTTAATTCCAACATGCTATGGAACTGGGGACAATGGCAGGAGAATCTCTGAGTTTGAGGCAGCCTGACCAACATAGAGAGTTCCTGGATAGCCAGGGCTACAGAGAGAGACCCTGTCTCAAAATAATAATAATAATAATAATAATAATAATAATAATAATAATAATAATAAGTAAAAACTTTCACACAAGGAGAATAAATAGAGTCAGGGTATACCAGTAGAGGAGATATTGTACTGTTTTTAGGGTGGCTTAATCATCACCATAAAACAAGTAATTTTTTTTTTAAAAAGATTTTTTTTGTTGTTAAAAACTGCCCATCACTCCTCCTTCTCTAAGAAAGAAATCATAGAAATACCACCATGCACAATAGCCACAAACAACATGAAATGTCTTGGGGTAACTCTAACCAAACAAGGGGAAGACCTGTATGAAAAGAACTTTGAGTCTTTAAAGAAAGAAATTAAAGAACATACCAGAAAAAGGAAAGATCTCCCATGCTCCCATGCATAGGTGAGATCAACTTAGTAAAAATGGCAATCTTACCAAAAGCAATCTACAGATTCAATGCAATTCCCATCAAAACTCCAGCATAATTCTTCACAGACCTCGAAAGAATAATACTCAACTTTATGTGGAAAAGCAAAACACTCAGGATAGCAAAAACAACCCTGTACAATAAAGGAACTTCTGGAGGCATCACCATCCCTGATTTCAAGCTCTACTATAGAGCTATAGTAATGAAAATAGCTTGGTATTGGCATAAAAACAGACAGTTAAAAAAAAAACCTGCAATCTGGTTTATTTCTATCTATTACAGATGCATAAAAGATCTTTCATCACATGAATCCTGAGAATTACACTTTTGGTTTGCTTTAGAAAAGTAACGCAAATCACACTATAAAAAAGTCTTTGGAACTGGCACAAAACATTGTTGTCATGTTAAAACATCAGTAACTAATGGGAGTAGCCTTATATGGATACATGGAGGTTTTTTGTTTGTTTGTTTGTTTTTGATAAAAGTTAAGCATGCTTTTCTTCGCTCTCTGGCCTTTCTTACTTTTTTCTGCAGGAGTCTCCCTGCCCCCAATTGCCTTTGCCAAGTGGCTGTATGGACCTCCAGAGCAAAAGGCATGGCTTACTTTCCTTTTCCCCTATATCCCTTTTGGAAGCTGTCCAGATTTACAGCTTGCTTACATCTATCTATCTATCTATCTATCTATCTATCTATCTATCTATCTATCTATCTATCATCTATATGTTCATCTTAATATCCAAAGTGACCGTTCTCAAGCTTTCTTTTGAATCCATTTCTAAATTCTCAGATTAAACAGACTTAGAACCCTTAATGGGAACCCTGAATTTCTCTGGTAACACCAGTCTTTCAGGGAAAGACTCTGTCTCAATAGATGAAGTAGAGGGGTTAGAGAGATGGCTCTGTGGTTGAGTAGGACAGACTTTGATTTGCAACACTCATATTGGGTACCCAACTGCATCAACTGCAGCTTCAGTGGATTTAACACCTCTGGCCTCTTCAAGAACCTGCACTCATGCACACACACACACAAACACATACACACACACAGGTCCAAGTAAATCTTTATTAAAAAAAAGAGATAGAATGTTGATGGGAGATGCCATTCTGTAAATATGTTTCTCTTATTGGTTAATGAATAAAGCACTGTTGGCCAATAGGAAAGCAAGATAGGTGGGACTAAAAGACTAGGAGGAGAGAGGAGGTAGTAGGGAAGAGTTCCAAGATGGAGGATGGAGAGAGAAGAATGCCAGCCTCTTTCTCCTGTAAGATAAGACAATGTGGAAGTACTTAGATTAGTAGAAATGGGTTAATATTTAAGACAGAGCTAGCCGATAAGGAACTAGTAATCGGCCAACTGAATTATATCAAGTACAGTGTCTCTGTGTATTATTTGGGGCTGGCGCAGCTGGGCCCAGGTCAGCAGGAAAAAAAATACTCGTAACAGAATGTGATAGAACAAAGCAGCTGACCCTGACCTCTGGCCTCCATAAACACACTTGCACACAAACACATACATACACATAAATGCACACATTTGCATGCACATACAAGCATATAGACACAAATAAAACATAAAAAGTGGAAATAAACTCCAAACAACAACAAAAGGTTAACCAGTAGTGGCCAAATTGCTTATCCTTCCCAGTCCTAGGCTTCTGTATCTGTAATATAAAGGGATTATGTTCTTAAACAATAGTAAAGTGCCTCAGGTGTCACTGGGGAAATATAAAGCTTGCTGAGCACTTCAGTGGGTACCCAGCTCGTAGCAAGACCTGTTAAATACCAGTTAATAAAAATACCAAAGTCTCTTAAGGGGAGGGGTAAAAACTGCACCAACCCGGACTCAGGGGGTGTTGACTCAGTCAAGGTCACACCACTGCTTTATGCGGAGGCAGATGGGAGCCGGCTTAGGCCGCTCTCCTTCAGTTTCCCATTTCTTTTCTGTTGGAGGATGGCACAAGTCTGACTTATTGTAGGTGAGCTCCCTACAAAGAAGGGATCCCCAGACACTCTGCAGCTTCCAGTTTCTGGCACAGCTGGCCCCCATCCCCAGTACCTGGGAACACAGTGGCAGGTGTGGCTGTGGCTGCTGTAGTCCCAGGGTCACCTCCTTCTGTGGGGATGCCTAGGGTCTGTAGAGTGTGCTCCGCAGCATATGTCTTTGCTTCATCCACGTAGGCGCTGAGCTTCGGAGGTGTGAAAGGGTGGCTAGAAAACACAGCCAATCATGTTAATTATTCAGAAACATAAGCGCCCAGTCAGTTAAAAAAAAAAAAAAGATAGCCAAAGGCAATTTTAGCTTTTAATGATAATCGGATGATGGGATTATATATATATATATATATATATATATATATATATCCTTCTGTTTACTGTAAAAAGCTTCTACATATACATATACACGATACACGGGAATATTTGTGAATTGATCTAGCACCTTGGTAGTTGGTGATATTCCTGGGGAACACTTGTAACTTTTACTAAATGACTCTTTTAAGGTTTGAGTGGTCCCTAAAATATATAAATGCAGCCTGGAGGTAAATCCAGAAGGTGATAGCCACTAACAGATGAGATCTTTGATATAAAATTTGAAAGGTGGGTCAGAGGGTTATGTAGTAAATGACAACTTCATGAGGGTCACTTGTATCGACCTAAATGCTGCGGGAAGGAACCTGTTATAGTCCTTTATTCCCCTTTGATCTCTACCCAGCCTTAGTCAGTTATCCTAGAGTCTTCATGTCCTATGAAAATGCTATCTTACAGCCGGTTAGGTGAGCATCTTGCTGTCTCATTCAATTACAAAGGAGTAGGTAGCAGATTTGAGTATGCCATTTGAGTGATGATCAGATACACTTAACACACAGGCTAACCTCACTCTAAAAGTTCTAGTACTGGGAGCTGGGAAAAGGTACCCACATTGCAGGATTCTGGCTGGCCAACGCTGGGATAGTTACTTTGTATAGGAATAACTGTCTTTGATCTTGTCCAATGGCAGAATGCAGCTGGTACACTGGCTGTCCCCAGTTATTTTTCTGACAGATTTCTTCTAGTATCTACAAGAGTAAGAGAGAGAGAGAGAGAGAAAGATTTCTCCCTCAAATGTCACATTTGCATTACTTCTCTAACTTTTAATCTCCGAGTTCTGATCTTCGGTTTCAACTAATAGAAAAGAGAAAATGTCATGTGGTTTAACAACTCATAAAATTTAACTTGAACTCAATCTGAACTTCACTGAAACCATAAGCATCTTTTATAGTTCATAAAATCATTTACACACCGTTTACTCCAATAGTTTTAGTTCATTTCATTACACATACATATCAGACATACACACACTTACTAAGAACTTAGTAATTCTTCATATTTTTTTTTGTGTTTTTATTCCAGTTTTTAAGAGATTGGTACTATAGCACTGTGTGGATGGATTTGCCTATTATCCCTCTTCCCCCAAGCCCTTGCTCACAGCGGCTTAGGGAAGTTAATTAACCAGAGACTCTATCTTTACTTTGTGCCAATTGTCATAGAGTTTTTGACTTCACATGTTTGAAAAAAATTTTTTTTTTGATTTTGAAAAGTTCCCAAAATTTTATGTTCTGACCTTATTTCATTTATTTTTGTTTTATGTATATGTTTTGCTCACATGCGTGGTGCCTTCAGAGGCCAAAATATCTGAAACTGGAGTTGTAGACAGTTGTGAGCCACTATATGGGGATCAGGAACCTGACTTGTGTCCTTCACAAGAGCAGCAAGTGTTCTTAACCACAGAGCTATCTTTTCAGGCACCAGTATTTAATAATAAACACTAATAGCTATTCACAGTGGTAATTTTTAAAAATTACTTGGTGATGTGCACTTTTATCTATTTATGAGAATCCATTTTTATTATCCATCTGCATGTTTAGTTTTTCCTGCTGTAATCACCCCAAACTGAATCTTTTCTCAAAAGATTCATGTGTACTTTACCCTAAAGCCAGTATTGGTGGAGGGGAGGTCCTGATCTTCTATTCACAAACAGATTCAATATCAAGAAAAGAATGGTACAACAGAATACTAGAACAATGCCTCCTATCTATAGCTCATTGTTCTCTTGTTAACCCAGCTGCTATCTGCCACAACATTTCCATGTTATTAATTTGAAGATTGTGCTTATTTTTTCCATCATTAAAAAGCACTTGGTATCATTGTCTGTTGTTTATAGAGCATGCTCTGCAATAGCCAGCTTTTGCTGGTAGATCAGCTGTCTGTCCCTTTATGCCAGTTGAGCAAACATACCAAGGACCATGGCCTACTACAGCTGCTGGCTGGGCAGGGCATTTCTGAACCCTGTCTACTGGCTAGAGATTCCTACCTCTGTTCCAGGGGTTAGTCTCCAGCCACAGTGGCTGGGATGGCATGGTCTTCAATTTTCCAACCATGGTTATAAAAATTCAGAGACAAATTAGTTAAATACCTCCCATTATGGCCAACTCCCTACCTCTATTCAATGTATTTTTTTGTTTATATATCTGTATTATTCCACTGGGTTGCCATATAATTTATGATTGCAAGGATTTTTGTTATATTCTTTTTAGCATCTCTAGTGTCTCCCACTCATGGTAAACTGGAGAAGCTCAAGAAATGCTATTTTTTAAAAGAATATTTTTCTCATGGACCCTCAGACTGATAGCTGGGAAACCAGCATTGTACCAACTCAGACCCCCTGAACGTGGGTTTCAGTTAGAAGGCCTGGGCAGTCTAAGCGACCTCTGACAGTGGAACCAGGATGAATCAATCTCTGGTGCACAAAAGGACTTTAGAAGCACATTCCCCATGGAGGGATACTACCTTAGCCTAGAGGCAGGAGGGAGGATCTAGACCCTACTCCAAATGACCTGACAGATTTTGATGATCCCTCCTGGAATGTATCACCCTCCCTGTGGAATGGAATGGGGGGAGCATGGGATAGTAGGGGAGGTTTGGGATCATGGGAGGGAGGGACAGAGAGGGAACTGAGATTTTATATATATATTTTGACCAAATGCAAAAAATAAAATAAAATCTAACATTTATGTAATTTCTTTAAAAAAATACTTCTCATTTACAACTGCAATAGACATTCTCCTATTTATTGTTTTCTTAATGCCTGAGTAGAGTGTGAAGAAGCATTGAAGAAGCATTATTTAAAGGAACATGAAAGAAAAACAGCATCAACCCACTCTTTCATTTTCAGACCAAGTTCTTGGACAACAACTTGTCCCCTTGCTCACAGCCTGAGGTTCTTTCTTTCAAACTGTAGCTCTGCAGCAGAGTCCTCTGCACCTACAGACTGTAACTCTAGCCAGTCCCCTAAAGTGTCTTCAGAAGGAACAGCATGTGATGCACACTAATGAGATAACCTGGGCTTACTTAGCAGGGACCAAGTCTGTTTTAATTTTCAAACATGGTATTTCACTTCCCTGTTGGAACAACCTTTAAAACTTTCAGTGTTTCCCCTAATAAAACAACCACAGCCACACAGACATGTGGAAACACTGCCTATTAAATGAAAGCAAATAGCAGTTACCATCATGACCCTGCCCAATGAAAAGCACTGTAGAAGACTCTATATGACTATAGTTACAGATTTACCGAGGTTCCATGGTAGAATGTTCTCTCTTTTCTTATAAATTTTTGAGATTATAATATAATGATAACATTTTCCCCTTCCCTTTCCTCCCTCCAAAGCACTTCCACATGACTCTCCCTACCGTTCTTCAAATTCATGACCTCTTTTTTCATAAATTATGTGTGTGTGTGTACACATACATACATACATACATACATATATATATTCCTAAATAACCTGTTCTGTCTGTATGATGTTACTTGCATGTATGTTTGCAGGACTGACTGTTTGATACTGCACAATCACATTGGTTTTTTCTCCCCTGGAGAAGGCTACTTTTCCTGCTCCCAGCTTTACTCAGGAGGAGGTTGAGGTACAGGGGACTTTTCCCCATCCACTTTGCTGTGCTCACTGTTGTTGTTCCTTTAATGCCATGCTTCCAAGGAAAGCCCTAAATAGTTCAAATGACTCCTCGTCTCTTTGGTTGTTGACCAACCCGCTTTAATAAGTATTTATGTTGAGCTGCAGTCTTCTTTTCATTTAAGATTTTGGTTGACATTCTTTTTAAAATTTTTTTTGTCCATTTGTTTTGCATTTTGCTGGGTTGTGATTAAATGAAATGAAAGTCCATTCAGTGCCAGAGTATGGCAGCAGCCTTGGCAGCTCTCCTGAGAGTGTTAAGCTGATTGTCACAGAACAGTAGCCCAGGCAGGGATCATTTGAAGGATGGTTCCTGGCCCAACTTAACCACCTCTGGAGTGATATTACCTACCTGAGGAGCAAGTTTAATTCCTTGTGGCTTTAAAGAGACAGGATTCATCGGGGTGAGTTCCATCCCAGGAAGAAGGTCATAGAGTTTGTCTTCTCGCTTGTCTCCTTTGACCTGGTATCCACGACCCAGGCCTGTGTATGCCAAATACCCACGGCTGCCCAGTCCTCTCACTCCCGCAGCCCCTACAGGGACATTCATGTAAATTTCTAGGAATGTAAGAAGGCATTAAACCGAATCAAACCACCAGAAAATCACCCTGAATCTTACTGTAATGGAAAAGTTAGCCCGAGTCACACTGATTACTGCCCTGAGGATGGACAGATAACTAAAGATTCTAATGCAATGAAACTCAACATCAGGTAAGGCTCACTGCAGACTCTCACTTTATTAAAGCTACTTGAGAAGAAAACAGTCCCTTCCAGGAGACTGAGAAATACACAAGTCATTTAAAACTTTGTCAGAGAGAAAAATATTTTAGTATCCTTTTATTAATATTTTTTTGGAGATTCACTAAGATTCACTATGATCTTATTAAAACACCCCAACATGATATGACCACTTAAATTATAGTTAGTCTGGTATAGTATAGATTATTCTATTACTGACATTCTGTCAGTAAACCAGAATGAATTTGACTATCACATCACCAATGAAGCATCAGAAAAACATTTAGAAATCATTTTTTTCTTTTTTAAGTTCACTGCTCTCTCTTTCTCTCTCTGTTATACATTGTCAATGTGGGGCTTACATTTCCATTGAGTTTCATACATAGATTCCTTTTGATTTTTGTTTTGCCACATTGCTACATTGATTTCCTATTGGTGACATAAAAGAATAAACCATTAAATTGATCACTCTTCACCCATAAATATTATTCATTGATTACTTTTTTATTAAGGCTATATATTATTTTCCCTTGGAATGGAGTTTGGTTTTTTTCTACATCACAACTGGTTGACAACATGTAAGATATGTGGATTAATTAATGATGTATTATATATATGCATAATGTTTCGGTGGCATAATTTGTTATAATGTATAGAAAGTATTTTGGATAAAACCTTAATTATTACTTTTACAATGCAATTTTGGCAGGGGTCATTGTATTGTGAGCGTAGAACTTTTAAGTCCATTGAAGAGGTCTTTAAATGCTTAATTCGTTTTTCCCTGAAAAAGAATGCAACACAGTAAGGTACTTGTTTCTATAGTAATCTGGATGGGCCTCTTCTAAGTTATACCCAAGAGTGGATTTAAATTCATCATTTATTCCTATTTTCCTGATTGCTGTCATATGGGGAAAATAAGATTGGGATCCAGATGATGTTAGCCATAACCATGAAAAACTACAGTGGAAGATACCACAAGGCAGAGAAAAAATAGCTTCATATATATGTATGTGTACATATATATGCATATATATGAATTTACTGAGCTCAGTGAGATCTATTTGAATTTATTTGGCTTCTTATATGCGAAAGAAACATTAATTGTCTTAATAGTTTTTTTTTTTCAATTTCATCATATGCAGCCAGAGGTGGTACAGTTCTTAGGAGGCAAAGGCAGACATTGTGAGTTCAAGGCCAGCCTAAAATATATAGTAAGCCCTTGTTACCAACATATAGACAAACAAATGGAACAAGAAAGGTATAACACACATATCTGGAAGAGTGTTCAGATGAGAACACCTTATATGTATGAAACATATGGTTGTTAATTTGTGATTGGCACACAGAGGCGGTGTTCATAAAGTCAGCATCAAGTACATATATGCCTTCAAGTGATTTTGCTATTTGAGGTGGTTTCCGTTGGGCCATACTTCTCTCCCTTAAAAGTTCTGTAATCAGTCTAATCAGGAACATATTAGTGCCAGACAATAGTCTAACAGAGAGGAAGAAGCGATGGATGTGGCATTGGGTTCTATTCTGTGCATATTTCAAGGGTCCGTGGAAGGATCTAATTTGTATAGACACATTCATACCAATTTCTGACAAGTATTTTTCAATAACCAGTTGTAATGTGAAAAAATAGATTCCTATAACATAAGAGATACTGATATATTTGATTTTTAACAGTTTTCTAGTATTTTTCTCCCAATGAATCCATCCAATCTATCTAGGCTACCACAGCTATAGTCTATAATTCATTTGAACTAAGTTTATCAATCATTTGAAATTTAGGAGTCATGGTAAAAACCAGTACTAAATAGCATTACCTCTTACAGAAGGGGCCCGGACGAAGGCCCTGTTGCTGAAATGTCCTTTGGTAGCTGGGAAATGAAGACTTGGAATGGCTGCATAGGCTTGTGGGGTATAGAAGACAGGAGCTCCAAGGTAGGCTGTGGTGGGGTCATAAACATGGCCCAGAGGGTAGGTGTATTCTTGCATCATGGTGTTCCTAGCGCCTGTGCCCCGGGTGTACCTAATATAACTGTCCTTGTCCACTGGCTTGGCTAAGGTTACTTCAATTGGGGAACCATCCAACACCTGTTGTAGACAGCAAGGAAAACACAAACTGAAAAGCCATTCTGACAACTCAGTGTCACACAACATGTCTACTATTTGCTGTATTTTCACTGACGTGCAATTCTTCACGTTTTTGTCTCTTAATTAGGTTCATGCTTCTGTATCAGTTGACTATTCTCTGAGTGGTTTTGTTGCTAATTGCACAAGATGACAACAGGTTTAACAATGCTAGGTTGACTACTGAATTTACAATGCAGAGACAACCAATGAGTTAAAATTATTCAGTGTGTTCTGTTATGTATGTTATATGTGTTTAAAATTACATAGTTACATAAATAGAAGTTGGTGATCTTTATGGTTGGAAAACACATTACACAGCACAATCAAAAGAAGATGATGGAAACCATTAAAGATATTTTATCATTTATCAATACCAGTATAATGAAATCCTGTCAGGCCTTTCCAAATGGCTCATTAGAACAGCTACACAATCAGTTAGTATAGTTAGTATTTCCTGGGGAGGGAGAGAAGCCTAGGTAGATCCTACTCAAGGAAGAGGAATTTACTAAACTGTTGCATTGTCCTTAGAATGCAAATGTTTGCCTTGCCAAGAAATTGGGAGCTAAGGAGCAGTGGTGGCAGTGTTTGGGATATTGGTCAAAGGGAGACTGAGAACTGTCAAGTTGGGTACAACTTAAAATATACCCCCAGGAATTATTGCAGTAGCCAGGCAGGCAACATACACCTTTAATCCCAGCACTAGGGAGGCAGACAGGAGGATCTCTGTGAGTTTGAGGCCAGCCTGATCTATAGAGTTCCAGGACAACTAGGACTACATAGAGATAACTCTCTGTCTCAAAATCCAAAATAGATAAACAAATACATAATTAAAAAAGAAAAAAGAAAATGAAAGAAATTTTGTAATACCTGGATGAGAAAAAGGCCTTGGTATGGAGATCAGAGAAAAATTCCCTTTGTTAGCTTTGTGAGTCTTGAAGATTGAAATAAGATCACCAGACTCATTACACGTACTTTTACCCTCTGAGCCATCTTGCTAGCCAGCCTGTGCCATTTCACTGGTCTTCTTGAACTATAAATATGATCAATACTTTACAATAGACATTCAAAGTCTCACTTTGTCTAATGAGTATAAATACCCATAGGTATACTAAGAAGCCTAGGAATTTTTTATATTATGCTTAAACAGCAGTTATTAGTATTTACTAATAATATTTATTAAATGCATAATGAGCTATACATTTATGAGCATTGTTATAGAAATGTTTGTATACACTGGACACAATTTGACCAGCCACCCCAAGCTTCTGTTACTGTCTTGAGCTACTTTGGAAGAAAGCAGTGTATTCAAGTTTATTGATAAATATACAAGCAGTTTAAAATTTTTTTTTGGGAAAAGGCATTTTTAATTATCCATTTGTTAATATCTGTAGGTTCACTAAGGTTCACTAAGCACTAAGTATATGCTTATTAGAACATGGAAAAGTAATATGACCATTTGAATCACAGTTAGCTCTGGTATAGAGATTGTCACAGTGAATGCCAGTAAGTCAGAATAGAATTTGACTATCTCATCCCCATACCTTCCCCCACCACGATGGACTCTCTTAAACGCTGAGCCAAAATAAAGTCTCTTTTCCTTGCAAACAAAACAGAACAAAACCAACAAAAAAATGGCAAGAACTTGAGCAGTTTCCCCCACTGGAAGTATTGTGGTATATTATTTAGTATTGGGTTTATGATTGCTGGATCTTCTCAATAGAAACTATGTACATTTAGGCATGTTTACTAAGAGAAAGCTAGCTTATGAATGGTTTTAAAGAAGTAAGATTTTATATATTTTTGAGATCAGCCCTTTGTCGGATATAGGATTGGTGATCCAATTTGGATCCCCTTGATCTCCTTTTGTTGTCTTATAGCATTAGCTAGAACTTCTAGTACAATATTGAAGAGATATGGAGAGAGAGGGCAACCTTGTTTTGTTCCTGATTTTAGAGGAATTGGCTTAAGTTTATCTCCATTCAGTTTGATGTTGGCAGTTGGTTTGCTGTATATTGCTCTTATTATGTTTAGGTATGTTCCTGTTATCCATGACCTCTCCAAGACCTTCATCATGAAAGGGTGTTGAATGTTGTCGAAGGCTTTTTCAGCATCTAGGGAGATAATCATATGGTTTTTCTTTTTCAGTTTGTTTATATGGTGGATCACGTTGATAGATTTTCATATGTTAAACCATCCCTGCATTCCAGGGATGAAGCCTACTTGGTCATGGTGGATGATTTCTCTGATGTATTCTTGAATTCAGTTTGCCAGTATTCTATTCTGAAAACAGCCTGGTATTGGCACAAAAATAGACAGGTAGACCAATAGAATCGAATTGAAAATCCTGATATTTACCCACACACCTATGAACACCTGATTTTTGACAAAACAGCTGAAATTATACAATGGGATGAAGACAGCATCTTCAACAAATGGCGCTGGCCCAATTGGATGAGGGTATGTAGAAGACTGCAGATAGACGCCATGCACAAAAGTCAAGATGAAATGGATCAAAGACCTCAACATCAATCCAGCCACATTGAACCTCTTAGAAGAGAAAGTAGAAGGTACCCTTGAACAAATTGGTATAGGAGACCGCTTCCTGAACATAACTCCAGGGGCACAGACACTGAGAGCAACAATTAATAAATGGGATCTCTTCAAACTTAGAAGCTTCTATAAGGCAAAGGACAGAGTGGACAAGACCAAACGGCAGCCCACTACTGGAAAAATATTTTCACCAATCTTATATCCGACAAAGGGCTGATCTCCAAAATATACAAAGAACTCAAGAAACTAGTCAACAAAACACCAAATAACCCTATTAAAAAACTGAAGAAAGAATTCTCAATAGAGGAAATCAAAAAGGCTGAAAGACACTTAAGAAAGTGCTCCACATCCTTAGCTATCAGGGAAATGCAAATCAAAACAACTTTGAGATACCATCTCACTCCTGCCAGAATGGCTAAAATTAAAAACACCAATGACAACTCATGCTGGAGAGGATGTGGAGAAAGATGAACACTACTCCACTGCTGGTGGGAGTGCAAACTCGTACAGCCATTTTGGAGATCAGTATGGCGGTTCCTCAAGAAAATGGGAATTAGTTTACCACAGGACCCGGCAATCCCCCTCTTAGGCATATACCCAAATGGTCCACATCCATGCAACAAAGACATTTGTTCAACTAGGTTCATAGCAGCACTATTTGTAATAGCCAGAACCTGGAAGCAACCTAGATGCCCCTCAATTGAAGAATGGTTAATGAAGATGTGGCACATCTACACAATGGAATACTACTCTGCAGAAAAAAATAATGGTTTCTTGAAATTCGCAGGCAAGTGGATGGCACTTGAAGAAACCATCCTGAATGAGGTAACCCAGTCACAAAAAGAGGAACATAGTATGCACTCACTCATATGAATTTTAGCCTTAGATCAAAGGATCACCAGCCTATGATTCACACCACCAGAGGAACTAGGATACAAGGTGTATTCTAAGAGATTCATATAAAGTCCCTCACAGAACCGGGAAGGGACAAGTCCCCCAGAGTACAGGAGAAGTGGGGGGGGGTTGCGCAGTGAATGGAGAGAGAAGTAGGAGAAAACGAGGGGGAGGGAAGGAAAACATGTGCGACCAGGAAGATTGAGCCTGGTTAGGAATAGAAGACAGGAGAGAGAGAGAGAGAGAGAGAGAGAGAGAGAGAGAGAGAGAGAGAGAGAGAGAGAGAGAACATAAAAGAGGTAGCCAATATTGGTTTGAAGATAAAATTAAACACAAAGAAAGGTCTAGAGAACTACAAGACTGCCACCAACTAACAATTTGAGCTTCTGTGGAAAGACTACCATAAATGCCCTTCCCGGAGAGTGAGATCAACAGCTAACTTATCCATGGAACCCTCAACTAATGCCTGTTGGAAATAGGAGCAAACACCCATACATAAACACTGAGTCGAAATAGAACCCAGATGCAGATGGAGAGGACAAGACCAGGTGGCAGAAACACATAGAGTCAGCTTACCTGAACAAGGAGGAGTTAACGGGCCACCAGACTGATAGCTGGGAAGCCAGCATGGGACTGACTCAGGCCCCCCTGAATATGGGTCTCAGCCAGAAGGACTAAGCAGTCTAAGGGACCTCAGACAGTGGAGCCAGGATGTATCCCTGGTGCACAAAAGGACCTTGTGAACACATCCCCCATGGAGAGATAACTGCCTTAATCTAGAGACATGAGAGAAGCCCTAGTCCCTACTTCATATGACCTATCAGATCTACATGACCCCAACTGGATGGCATTCCCCTACATATGGAATTGGGGTGGGGGGAATGGGAGGGGAGGGTGGTTAGAGTGCACGTGAGAAGGCAGAGAGGGTAAAAGGGAAGGAGGGAAAGAGGGATGGAGGGAGGGAGGGAGGGAGGAAGGAAGGGAGGGAGGGAGGAAGGGAGGGAGAGGGAACTGGGATCGACATGTAAAATAATAAATTAAATAAAAAAGTGCTTTGACTCCAAAATTTAAGTTCAAGGACAAGAAGTTACTGGGGAAAAGGATTTCTATTTTTCTTTCCACAGAAAATGAAAAGATGTGGATTCCTTCCAGACTAATGTGGTTTGATCAAGCCAGACCGCCTGAAACAGAGTACCATGTGATCCTACATTCAAATCATCTGGACAAAGCAGCCTTACAGACTACAGCCAGGATTTCTGCATCTTCTTAGAACCCCCCATGACAGCTCCCCTTACCAGCAGGAAGTAGTTTGGGAAGAACGATGCCCAAATTCCCAAATATTGTCTATAAATGTTTGTTTTCATTTAAATGGACTTGGTTATATAAAATAAATAAATAAAATAAAAAAGAAGTAACATTTTTATGACACTAACATGATAATCAATGAAAAGTTATATTTTGGTCATAGGTACATTTAAATAAGAATTGATTTTACTTTATAATCTTAAAGTCCTTTTTTTTTTTAATTTTTTAGAGTAACCACTTTCTTCAATAGAGGACTTAAGAAGTTGATAGTCCCTAAGGCTGCACATGCCCCAGGCTTCCCTGTGTGTGAAGGAATCTGTGCTATGAAGCCTTGCCCTTGTCTTCCAGATCCAATCCCCGCCAACCCACCAATGTCCAGCCTGCACCCTGCTCTGGTGATTACTCCATACAAAGCACTCTGTAGTGCTCCTGGGCCTCAGTCATTGGATTTCAACAAGTAACTTTGGGTGAAAGGATACAGAATGAGAGAACAATGAATTTAGGGTGTGTTTTCCTGGTACCCGCTCTGAGAGGTCATCTTGGGCCCACTGTATTTCTTGACCAAAGGTGTTTCATATAAAGTCTCAGGGTGGCATGACTCTAGATCAATGTTCCCATCCAAGGGACCAGTTCTCCACAGTTCTGTGTCATTTCAGTATTCTACTAATTCTCCGACTTTTTCCTGTGCTTTTACTGTAAGAATTCTGTGAGCTCTAGCATCCGACACTACATTTTTGCATCCCCTTTCCTCACATTTCTGGAGTGAATTCCTTGCCACCCATCATCTACCAGAACCTGGACTGAGAAGATTCAGTGGGCACAGCAGTCTTTGGTGCATTCTACTTTCACCTAATTTGTTATCCTCAGATTTTCTCCAGATCTTCTCAAATTCTGCCATGAAGACAGATTTGTCTGACTGTAATTCGCCTTTTGAAAGTGTATCCAATTTTCATAGGTTCTTTTGCACATTATCTCCTCATCCATGATGGTTTTCTGAATGTTGATGATCCGTTTCTTCATTTAAACTTTATACTTTTAAATGATTTCTAATAACATTGAGCTGACCACTTTGCAGAGGTGTTTATAGCCCTGTCCTAGTTCTCTAGACTCTCAGCTCTTTGATAAACATCCTTTCTTTGATTAGTTTGCATCCTGGACACTACTAGCAAATCAGTGGCCCATAGACAGCTCTCTCTCTCTCTCTCTCTCTCTCTCTCTCTCTCTCTCTCTCTCTCTCTCTCTCTGTGTGTGTGTGTGTGAGTGTGTGTTTTGATTGGACTGATGTAATGTACAGGTTTCTATAGACAAATGAACACAAGTAGTACAGAAGTTGATTTTTCTCCCACACCCCACTCTTGACAAGGAGAAGTATTCTAAGCCTCCATTTTGGAAAGATCAAATACTGAGCGCAGAATGACAACTTCCTTGACATTTTTCTGACCAATATCATAAATTGCTGCATTATAAAATACAGTAATTTAGATAATTGGAACTTGGGGGGTATGGTGGGTTAAATGAGAATGCCCCCCATAAGCTCATGTGCTTTCATGCTTAGTCTCAGTTCATGAACTGTTTGGAAGGATTAGGAGCTGTGGCTTTGTTGAAGGAAACATGTCACTGGGAGTGGCTTTGAGGATTGAAAAGCCCATGCCAGAACCAGTGTCTCTCTCTGCCCCATGCCTGCAGATCAGGATGTAAAGCTCTCAGCTACCTCACCAGAACCATGCCTGCCTGCCTGCTGTATGTTCCCTGCCATGATGATAATAGACTCACTTCTGAAACTATAAATAATACCCCAATCAAATGCTTTCTTTTCTAATAGTTGAGTTGGTCATGGTGCTTTCTCACTGCAACAGAACAGTAACAAGGATGGGGAAACATCTTGAAAAACTTTAATCCTCTCTTCCTAAGAAAATTGGAGGCTGGTGATGACTTGTCCAAGTCAGAAAAAAAATGTGTTAGGATTTGCTACTTAGCTACCTCTTTGCTCTCTTTATCTTTTTTTATGTTATTTCTCTTTTGTGCATCCTCAGAAGACAGATGTTGGAGATGAGCAGAGCTGGAGTAAAATGGACTCTTGAGATCACTCTTTGGTATAGGATGTCCATACCAAGATTGGATGGGATCTGTATATATTTTCTTTTCTCCTACATTACCTTGCCATTTAAAGCTTTCATAGCTTCAACCGCATCTTCTCGGTTACTGAAATGCACAAAAGCATAGTCTCGAATCTTCTTCACCCTTTCCACAGAGCCTGTAGATATAAAGCCAGCAGCATTGTTAGCAAACTTGAGACAGTGATGTGATGATCTTCTAAGTGTATAAGCACCTTGTGAGACTCCTTTGTGTATCAAGGTTTAAAATTCTGTATCATCAACATGAGCTTTTGCTTGCCATAAAAATACTTATAATCTTATTAATTAGAAATAGTCATGCTTTATGTTTTCTAATTCCTAGATTATAAGAATGGTATCTTTTTTCATATTACAAAATATAAAATATAGTAGTCTACAAAGGTAAAGCATTATTACATTGACTTGAATCCAATTTTTTGGTTGTCATAATCATACACATATATTTAATTCATTTACTTCAAAGTACTGTTTTATCTGAAAGGTTCAAAGAAAGGTATAGGAGTAAGAAAATGCGAGTGGAGCTAGGCAAGGTGCATGTAGGTATTACCGCATGCATGGAGAGGAGAAGCAGTTATAGCCACTGGCTGCTGAAGTCTTTCCCTATATTCCGTCATAGAGACAAAACATTGCTGTGCAACAATTCATGGGAGTGAGGGAAGGTAGAACTTCTCAGTCTATCCCCATTAGTCAAATTTTACCCCAGGAGTGTAACCCTTGCCTCCATGTCTGGGTTAGTGTGGTTATGTGAAATGCCTGATGCCAAGTTGTAGCATGGATTTATTTGTTAAATCATAAAATACCACCCCACCAAGTCCTGTGCTAGAGAATTCATCCAAGTCTGCTGGATGGGCAATGTCACAGTGAATCTGATAGCAATCTGTGACATCCTATACAGTTCAGTACTGTTTTCTTTATTTCCAAAATGACATAAAGAAAAATGTTCAGTGACTTTTCTCAAGTTCATTTGCTGGTAAGTGATCATGATTTCAAGTAGTCCGATTCTGGACACTGAGGAAGACTGAGGTAAGGACTAACTTGCTACCATTAGAAATTTTACACTCATACCTCTGAAAATACCCTACTTTATTTTCTATAAAATGGTTTTGGATTTTGGGGAGACGTTAGCAATGTGGCACATTAATTTTTGTTTAATTAATTTTACTTTACTTTTATGTAAATATTAGGAGACTATGATTTGGACAAAAGTAGATTGATAATTCACAAGGCACACAGCTAAGGTCTAGAATTACATGTCTTATATTCTTTATTAATAACTTTAAGTTAAAAGATTGTTGCTTCTGGAAGAACATCTGAAGTCTAAGATAATTTCTGTCTGTATAAAAATGTTGGGAAAAGCTAGATGTACTAATTCTAACTTGTTTCTGCATATACCCAAGGATTTTCTATAGACACCAGTTACACCACTATAGAAATAGCAAAATAAAACAAGATCCATTTTCTCAGAAATGATTACATATGATACATTTACACAAACTCCATTTAGTCTTTAAAGAGACCAGAGCAGACTTCCATCTGCTCATATGGAAGGATTCAAACCCTATTGTCTGTTTCTAAAATCTATAACAGGATAAGATGAGTATCTATTTAAAGTGTCTCAATTCACACACAAATGCAAGTACTCCTGTATCCAGAGATACCTGGAAAGGTGGAGATCAGACTGCTAGAAATGGTTACTTCAGGAATGGAGAGATGTATCGGGGAGAATGTAAACATTTCAAATATTTATTCTATTTTTAGTTGCATGCATACGTGTGTATGTGTCTGTAGTTATTTGCCAGTGAGTGCAGATACCTGTGGAGGCCAGAAGAGGCTGTTAGATCCCAGGGAGCTCAGAGTACCCAATGTGGAAGCTGGAAACGGAATTGGGGTCTTCTCCAAGACAAGAGCAGTACAAGCTTTTACCACTGAATCATCTCTCCAGACCCAGGAATGAAAACATTTTAAGTGGCATAGTTTTATAAATATTAGCTATTTTAATTTAGTTTATCATGTAAAAACATCCAGAAAGCAGCATACTCCATTCTTAACGTGGAATGACTGCTGTGTATGTTGATGGTAATGTGTGAAAAAAAAAGAAAAAAAGGTAGTTATACCAAGATGCTGGGTGCTACCTTTTAATTGTAGCTGATAACTTGGTTTTTAAAACAAACTTTTTGTTTAGTTGTTGCTTTAGTGGAAACTTGTTTCTCTATCACTTGAGCATGCTGATTATCTTCCAGCTTACATTAACCTGGGTGTCTTTTAAGCATCTAGGTTTTTTTTTTTTCACTTAACCATAGTTCTCAGGGTCCCTGAGATGTCATGCTATTTTCAGGAAAAAGAGGAAGAGGAGAAAAATCCATCCTCTCCCAATCAAAATACACTTCTCTCAGACTCAAGGCCACTAAAGCATTTAATGCTGGCACTTCTACCACCTGGTCCAATGACTACAAATTACCTTCCTTTGGGACAATGGGTGGCAAGTAATCTAAGTCTAAAATTTAGAACTTTGTAGTAATTTGCTTCTCTCTTCTCTAAGTAGTCAGCCCTTAGCTTCTATGACAGTCATTACACAGAGCAAAATCACCCGGCTAGACTGGAAAAATTAAATAAAGGCATATGAGCCCACGAAGCACAGGGTGCATAATTAACTAAGCTTTTAGGTCTGTCTCTTCATTCCTTCTCTGTGGCACAGAGTGATGACAATGGCTCCATTCCATGGCTTGTCTTGGTAAATGAGAAGAAAGGAGTTAGCCAGGATGACCTTCCATTCCATTCTGCTCCCCTGATCTATCTATAGTTTTCCGAAGTGGGGGGGAGGTGGATGGGTAAAATGTTTGCTTCAGCCACAAAAAAAATATCACCTTCATTTATCTCCTGCCTAGTGCCAAGGACACAAGAGCTAGTCTCTCAGTAAATACACACAGAACCAAAGTATTATCAGTCCATTTCCATATGCTCCCAACACTCACATTAGTCATGTAGCATTTATGTTGATAATTGGTTTGGGTGTTTTGAAATTTTTGCTAATGTTTCCTGTTTTGGAGCGATAATATTCAGACACCTCTGCTTATGGAAAGCTTCCTTTGTGAACCTCTGATCACTAAAAGTCAATTAGAATGTATGGGTTTGAATATCATAATGTCGGTTTCTCCCACATAAGAACTAACCAGACCTAGCCATACTTAAAGGCCAAACAAGAACCAGCACATTCAGGGTTATATGGTTATAGCTTCTATATAATAGCAATGGCAATATACCTCACATTAGAGCTTGCAATCATTTCCCGTGGGAAGTCCATCAGCAAAGAACTAGATCTGTGCACACAGGAATAAGAAAAACAGACTCAAGGTATAGTTCCCAATCCACTAGCGTTAGCTTCACCTGGGAACTTAAGAAATACAGATGTGTAGACTTAACTAGGTGGGTGAGTAATCTGTGGTTTTAGCAGCCCACCAGGTGAGTCTATTATTGCTGAACAGTTTAAGGAATCAGATTTTGTAGAATAACAACTTAGACTACATGAGAACAAAATATCGATGGTCCTGGGTTTTTATGGCGATTGTCATTTGTTTTTCCAGAGTATTGATGTAGAATTTTCCCAGAGCAGTCAGGATTCAAATTATATTCAGGAAAAAAAATATTTTCAGGGAATATTCAGGTTCCTCCAAAAGACCTAAACTTTAAAAAGAAAATTTTAATAGTTTTTCTTTTTCTTCAAATGTTCTAGTATAGCCTCAGTTTACCAGATCCTTGCACTGGAAAAGAAATCTGTGGCTTTAATTGTTTTCTCTTTGTAGGACAGATATCTTCTAGTTGTTCCTATTCCTTTGTAGCAGGTGAAGCAGGAAAATCTATCTATCTGCACATTGTAAACATCATAAAACCCTGAGGGTTGTGCCACTGGCCCAAAAAGTGCCTTAGAAATTAGGAAACACTTTAGACTGAAGATAAAGAAGAATAATATAGTAATGCTGGTGATGGTAGTGGTTAGCGACATGGGAAGAGGAGGAGGAAGAGAGAGGAAGATGCAGGGAAAGGATAAGTTAGTATTCATTGTTTTTGTATAGCTTCTAGTGTACCAGTGTCTAGTAATAAATAAATGCAATGATAATAAATAAATAATAAATATCAAATATTAATAAATAAATAATAAGTAATAAATACATAATGAATGTGCAGGCTGGACCAATAACCATTCACTGTAAAAAAAAAGTCAGTCTTTGGCGGTTTCTCATTCCAACCTCTTTGAACAGAAAAGCAATATTTTAATTAGACGAGAAAATAAGTATTGTTCATTCTGCGGAAACAAAACATAACCCAGAATGGGTGAAACCTACACATACATACTAGCTCCTAGGCCTACACAACTCCAGTGCCTTCCAGCACTTCTCTTTCTATATGTGACTTCTCTTACACACGACTTTTCTCTTCATTCCAAGAGTAGGATGACTTAGCTATCACTTTTCTGTAAATTCCTTCCATGCACAGCTCACATCTGTTAATTCCTCCCACAGTGCATGGCATGTTGGAGCTACTGAAGGGGCAACAGCTGCATGAATGAATAAGTGAATGGAATGAGGATGGGTGTGGGGGTTCATAAAGCTGTTAAATCTGGGGTCTTCCAGCTGCTAGCTGTGTGACTATTCGACTGCTCTGGGCTCTGGTTTTTGTGTGTGGAAAATAATAGACACCACGAAGGAACCTCCACGCTAGGGTCATTATGATGAATAGATGGCATGCAATGTGAACACACCCACTCTAATTCTAGTGGATTTGTTTGTGCAGTTTCTGTATTAGTTATGGATTCACAGCTGTTGGTATGTAGCCACACCATGATACTAAATGTCAGGAAAGTAAGACTTCTTGAGGCTGAAGGAAGATAAATATTTGAGAAGTCTTTAAAAGGAAAAAAAAAAAAGGCTATCCCTGCCAATTATCTGCAGAGCAAATAATAAGCTTATCATCCTATTGTACATGTAACATTGTATCCACTTACATTTAGAAATAGACAATCTGAGAATGCGAAGACTGTCAGAGGCTTAACATAACAGCACCACAGCCCACACTTGTCAGCATCCTATAGAACTTGCCAGAAGCCCAAGAAATTCTCAGTTGTGGGAAGATGTTTCTATAATAAACACAGGCTGGAGTGACTGAGTATGTTCTCAGGCATACTGATGGACATGACTGGAGATAATTTTGGCTGTTTTCTGGGGTAGGCTGTTATAGCTGGCATGTATAGGAATGAACCTTGCATTTTGCTCAATACTCTGAAATCTACTGGATTGATTCTTATGACCAAGGATTATTTGTTCCAAAATTTCAGTAGCAAAGAATTTGGGAAACCTTGTGTTGGTTAGTAAGGGGCAGACATCACTAACAGTAAATATTTACCTAGTTCTTAGTCTGAAGGTCTGGGGACAGAGGAGTTAATTAAAGGAAGAAGAATGCATAGAGTTTAGTTTTGCATAAGTAATATGTTACTCATTAAATAACTACAAAGGTAAATATAAATCACAACATTCCTAAATGCTGTAGGACCATATATCTCTTTCTGATCCAAAAATGGAAAAATAATTGAACAATATGCAACCAATTAGGAGAAGGGACCTAATGAAAGATTTTTTTTTTTTTTTTTAACATCATGGGTAATAGCTTCTGGCCCAAGTGCTTTTAAAGTTCATTTTGAAGAAGTAATTACACATGTTTCCTACCTGGTTTAATACTGTTGAATTCTTTTTCAATTGTCTCTTCTGAGGTAGACAGCATGAGGTTTCTTACGTACAGGATTTTCACTGAAGACATTGTGTCTTCATCAACTTCGACTTCTGGCTCTGCCCAGTCTACTGCAATAGGATGTCCCCACAACTGAATTCTTCCTGTTGACAATGATCAGAAGAATGATTAATTATTTAGAAATCACGACATCATCTCAGCTCACACTGATGGCCTTTTAAAACCGAACTGACCGTTAAGGTCTTAAATGACTAAGACCACTAAAAAAGATTATTATTGATTTTAAGGCATTCAAATAATGCAAGAGTCGGATAGAAGAGACTTCCGTGTGACTAGTGGCTTATCATAATGGTTGAATGCAAAGAGAAGTAGGATGTGGTTTGAAATGGAGGAGTGAGGAAGTGGTGGGCACACTGGACCCTCAGGACAGCTTTTACAAGGAGGGGGTAGTTTATAAGGTGAGCTAATAAAAGGGAAGAACAGCTAAGAGTGGATTTAGTGCCCAGACAAAGAGTCTGACTGTGAAGCATTAAGAGGTCATTGGGACAGCATCTGCTGCATCTGCTGTAGTTGAACTATATTGTCTATCAGCCAGAGACCACCAATGATACATACATACATATATATTCATATGTATATGAATATGAGCAAGGGTGGGTGGGACCAAGCATTCTTTGTTCTCTCTCTTTCATATTTGATCCAGGGCTCAGACAGGGTTCCTCCGTCTGAACACGTGGAATTTAGGCTCTCACAGATAACTTATTTGTGAAAATCCTGATTCAGAGAAGACTAAGGAAAAGTTGATGGTAAGAAACTTATCTCGCCTTCAAATAGCAGTTGTCCAAGTCAGCACACATTCCTGTACTCCTACAGTGGTAACTTCCTGGATGTTCCTCACTATATTGTGAGCCTCTCAGCTCTTTCTTATCATGACCTTGTGGAAGGAGGGGCAACACCTGGTTTTACAGCTTCAAAGTGGATCACTTGACAGTGGAATTTCCTTTTATTACTTCTCTCCCCTTTGAACTTTGCCACCCAGCAACCATGCTCCTGGAGGTTCCATGTTGAAGAGGTGGGAAAAGATACCAACTTGATTTTCAAATTTTATGGGAAATCTGGTTTTTTTTCTTTTTTCTTTTTCTCCATTCATTGATTGGAAGCATGCTGTATCTTGCAGAGAGCACAGAACTTGAGAGGGGAAGTAAATATCCATCGTTTTATTCCTTGAAAACCAATCATGATTTTTGACATAGGTGCCAAGGGCAAGCAACACAGAAAGTATCGTCTTTTTAATCAACGGCACCAGAGAGAATTGGGCATAATCGTACTTTGTGAGGCTGAGGCAGGAGGAGCTCAAGTTTGAGGTCAGGCTGTGCTAAATAACACATTTAAAAAACACAACAAAATTAGTGGGTAAAATGGATATACCAATCCACATGTAGATATTAGGCCTTTATTCTAAGATGTATAAAAACAATAAGCCAGGGGTAGAGAAATGATGTTTACTACTCTTCTGGAAGGCCTGCTTTCAGCTCTCAAAACCTACAGGGTGGCTCACAGCTGTCTGCTAACTCCAGTCCCAAGGGATCCAGCACCCTCTTCTGGCCTTCACTGGCACAGGGCACTCACTTGATACATAGGTATACTTGCAGGCAAGCCCTCCCACCCCCCGCCCCAACCCTGGACACACACACATAAAACAAATAAATAAAAAAAAATACTAACTCAAATGGATAAAATACCTACATGTCAGAATTGAAACTATAAAACTACTAGAAGGAAACACAGCATAAAAGTTTCTTCACATCAGTGTGGGCAATGGTTTTTCCTTTGGCAATGATTCCAAAAGGTGCTGGTAATAAAGTAAACAGAGCCGAACAGAGTCAGATGAAACTAAAACATCCGCCCGGCAAGGGAAACAAGGTGTAAAGAGACAACCGAGACAACCTAAGAAGACTTTTCAGTAGAGGAAAAAAAATCTGAATTAAATGGCAAAATATTAAGTCCGGGCCACTAAGAGGCTCAGATGATCTCTCTGTGAGCCTTGGTCACTGGCTGGCACACTATGGGAAAGCTGCAACACAGAAAAGATCCATCACTTTAATAGATTTGGTAATTTCTAGATCTTACACAGTCTCTCTCAACTCAGAAGTTGGCATCTAAATGTTGAAATCTTCTAAAGGACTAACCCTGCTACTGTTTTGTTTTGCATTTAAGAATGCATGCAGGAATTCAGGACCCAGAAATAAACTGACATACTCACTCATTGGTACCTAATTGTTGACAATGGTGTCAAAGCACCTTAAATTGGAACCTGAAACTACTAGTGGAAAACAGGGAATACACCTCGAAAAGAACTTTCAGAATAGAGCTCCAATGGCTTAGGAACTGGCTCCAAGAATCAGCAAATGAGTTCATAAGAAATTAAGAAGTTTCTGCATGGCAAAGGAAACTATCAGCAGAGCAAGCAGGCACCCTCCCCACCCACCCGGGATGGGGGATGGTAAAAATTGTTACCAACTATATTTCAGAAAGGTGGCTAATATTCAGAATTTGTAAAGAAAAGTAAAAAAACTAAACACTCCCCCAAACTGACAGTCAGCCAAAGTGATAACAAGCAGAGACAGTTCTCAAAAGACAAAATAGAAACAAAACAAAATAAGACAACAAACAACAAATGGCCAGTAACTATTTTTAGAAGTGTTCAACATCCCTTGTACCAGGAAAGCATATACTGAAAGGACTTTGACATCAGGATCTGATAGTAAATGGGGGAAGAGGGATCTTTATTCACTGCTGATGGGAATACAAACAAGATAGCCATTATAGAAATTAGTATGGAGGTTTCCACATAATTTAAAAGAGTACTACCGTATTTTTCAGCTACAACACTCCCAGGCATGTACAAAAAGGGCTCCTCAGTCTACTGGAGGTTCTGGCATGTTTATTACTGCTCTCTCTATTCATGATATTAAGGAATAAGAACGAACCTAGATGTTCGTCAACTGACGAGTGCAGTTATGCGATGGAATTTTACTCAGCTGTAAAGAAAAAGGAAATTAGGGAACTTGTAGAACAATGGATAGATCTGTGTGCTGTTTAGTTGACAGAAACTAGAGACACCTGGGAAGAGGGTGTCTCAATTAAGAAACTGTCTCTGTCACATTGGCTTGTGGGCATGTCTAGGGAGAATTTCCTTGATTGCTAGTTGATAGAGGAGGGACTAGCAGCCCCTTGTGGGTGGGGTGACACCTCAGGGCATGTGGTCCTACGTTATTTAAAAATGGTAGGTGGACATTAGTCAGCAAGCAGGCCAGTATTTAGTGTTCCTTTGAGATCCCCCATTTCCTTTTCTGCCTCCAGCGTCCTGCCTTTGATGGGAAGCTATGAGCCAAACGAACCCCCCCCCCCCACCAGTTGGTTTTGGACAGTATTTTATCACAGCAGAGACAGAATCTGGAAGGTTCGGTATTAAATAGGGGGACCCAAACTCAGAAAGGCACAAACTGTGTATTTTCTCACATGCAGATCCTTGGAATGTGTATGCAAGAGTCTGTAAATGGGTGTAAATGTGGGTGAAGTTTGAAAACATGAAGAGAGAGAGAGAGACAGAGAGACAGAGAGACCAAAAGAAGGTTACAAAAAAAGTTCTGAGGAGTATGAGTAGGGTAAAAGGTCACATGTGATGAAAGAGTGGATAAAAGGCTAAAGTGACATTATGAAGGGGAACCAGAGGAGATTAAAAAAAAGAAGATGGGGAGAAGGTTCATCAAACACTCTGAAAATGCCACACTGATATGTAATGCTTTGTATGCTAATTTAAAAAGGCATGTATAAAGGGCTAGGACATAGCTGCGTGGTAGAATGCTGGATTCTAGATAGCTTACTCAGTTCACTCAACAGCACCTTTTAAAAAACCACAGCCAAGGAAAACTGTATGAGGGCAAAATAAATCCAGAGTTTTGTTGTTTTCCTCTAATCTGATGGGTCTCCAGTTTTCATAGGAAGAGCGGGACATAATGCCATGCTAGGTTAGTGGTTCTCAACCAGTGGGTCAGGCCCCTCAAGGGTCAAATATCAGATATTTACATTACGGTTATTAACAGAAGCGAAAAATTGTGGTTATGATGTGCCAGTGAAATAATTTATGGTTGGAGGTCACCACAGCATGAAGAGCTGTGTTCAAGGGTATCAGCATTAGGGAGTTCGAGAACCACTGCTCTAGATAGTTTCTTCCATTAGCAGGAATTCATGTTAGCACCTGACTGTGTACGTTTTAATGAATATTTTACAGTAAAACAAGGACCTTTGAGTGTTTGCCTGTGTTGGTCTGATCCAGGCAGTGTTGCAGGGTTATTAAACTCAAGAATTGATGTGGGTGCCCATACATGTGGCTGGAGCACTGAGCAGGTTTTTTTTTTTTTTTTTTTTTTTTTAAAGAAGAATGTTTTTGTTTCTTCTCTCCATTTTGATGGTAATGTTTTAGAAATGGAGAAACACATTGATAGCGTGTCTGTCAGTTGTCCTTGGGATGGTGTACTACAGGCTGCTGCATGTCTACACTATGACGGGTTGAATATAGGCCAGTTCTGACTAGCCTGTGCATTTAATCTACATGGGGTTATATCCAGGATGAATCAGTTTAATTTTTTACCCCTTTTTAATTTTTTCTATTAATTTTTTTAAGATTTATTTAATCTTAAGATTTCTCACTGAGGATTTTCTGTAGGATGGCTATTGATCAGAGTTCTCCTGATGCACTGATGTGTAACTTTCCAAAGCACATCTGGGAAAACTTTAGGGAACTAAAAGAACCATGAGAAACATGAGAAAGACAAAGGGCTTAAAGACAGCCTAGAAAACGAAGCTCAAACACTACATATGGATGCCTGCAGTCTGCACATCTCAGGAGGGTGGAGCACAGCGTAAGTCAGGAGGGATGCTCACCTGGCAACAGCCTCCTCCTAGCCATGGCGGCTGCGCGGTGACTCTCATATTCCACAAAGGCAAATCCCCGGTTTTTGGTTTTATCTGCCGCGCTTGGGTAGACGATGACGTCAACAACTCCTTCCGTGATCTTTTTCATCTCCGATAAGATTTCTTCTCTCTTTTTGGTTTTGGGGATTCCTCCCACAAACAATCGACAGTTGTCCACACTGGCACAGACTCCTAGGAGACGTCCATTCCTAAGGGCGAAAAAGGAAGCTTTTTAGTAGGTGAGAATCCATGTGTAAAGGAGGGTGGTGGAAGAGACTGCAAATATGTACCACTTTCAAAAACTGTTTTCTTTAGGGGGCCGAGGATGTTTCAATACAGACTGACACTCCTTACCCCTTTTCTTTGATGGCTTCAAACTAGGGGCTTGTGGTGCCTCTTAGATTTGGCCACTAACCTATATATATATATATGCAGTCCTGACCTCTGATTTTTTGTTTTTTGTTGTTTTGTTTTTCTGAGACAGCGTTTCTCTGTAGCTTTGGAGGCTAGCTCTTGTAGACCAGGCTAGTCTCAAACTCACAGAGATCCTCCTGCCTCTGCATCTTGAGTGCTAAGATTAAAGGTGTGCGCCACCACCGGCGTGACCTCTGAACATTTTTTAAATATATATTTATTATTTTTTCTTATTTTACATATAGATCCCAGTTCCCTCTCCTTCCCACACCCCCTGACTCCCTCTCCCATCCCATTCTCCACCCACTCCACAGGGAGGGTGATGCCTTCCAGGAGGGATTGTCAAAATCTGTCAAATCATTTGGAGTAGGATCTAGGCCCTCCCTCCTGTTTCTAGGTTAAGGGAGTATCCCTCCATGGGGAATGTGGTCCCAAAGTCCTTTTGTGCACCAGGGATAAATCCTGGTTCCACTGTCAGAGGTCCCTGAGACTGCCCAGGCCTTCTAACTGAGACCCATGTTCAGGGGGTCTGAGTCAGTCCAATGAACTTTTTAAGAAAGAAAAGTAGACAAAAAGCTTATCATCACCTGGTCTCTTCAGACTGGATGTGGGTTCACCACTTGCCATACTAGGCCCTGTTCCCTACTTCTCCTACTTACCATGTGCCACTGGGGTTTGCCACACCTAATGATTCATGTACATTGTCACCAGGCAGACAAGCTGTTCTGATTGATATATGATTACTATTAACTCCCCCTCCCAATAAAAGCAAAATTGAAAAGAGCCAGCAAGATTGCTCAGTGGGTAAAGGTGCCTGTTAATAAACCTATTGATCTGAATTCTATCTCTAGACTCAATGGTGGGAGGCTAGAACAGATTCCCATAAGCTGTCTTTGACCTCCACACTCATGGTGCACATGCACACACACAAAGTAAATTAAAAAAATTAAATAGAAATAGTCTCTTGTCTATAACAGAAGATTTTCCTATGCTATCTTAGTTGTCTCATAGAAAAGAGCCAGCAGGATGAGCAACATAGGTATTATTTCTGTTTTATAGACAATGAACTCGAGATTCCAAGAAATGAAGTGATTTGGTTAAGGGCCTTATTGATTGGTTCTGAGAGGTGAAATTGGCCTCAGGGACTCTTGGGGACTCTCTTTATTCTACTTTGAGGTTTTGCCTATTATGGATGGAGGGTACCTTTGCTGAAACAGATAGCTGACAAAAGACTAAATAGTGCTCTAGCAAACAGAAATGAGGCCCAAGCCATAGGTAAATCCGAACTGTAAATAAGCAGTGTCTTGCGGCACTGGCATGTTCTAAGGCAGCTCAGTTGAGATGATATTTTTTTGTGCCTGGACATTGCCTCATTGCGTACCACAGTACATTATCCCTGGCTCTTTTAAATGCCTTTCCAAGTTTTATGTGTATGAGTGAGTATTTTGCCCACACCTATGTGTGCAGAAGATGGTTTTGGATCCCCTGAAACTAGCATTTCAGACAGTTGTTAACCACCATATGGGTGCTGGGAACAAAATCAGATCATTAACAAGAACAGAGGTGTTCCTAACTGCTGAATCATCTCTGTCTCTTCCTGACCCCTGGCATTTGATCACTTGGTGTGGATGAACAATCGTCAAGTCATCCAAAAATGTCTTCTTTCTATGTGACTTTTAAGGGTGGACATTGTTGCTTCTGACTGAGAAACTGTAGTAAAGGGAAGATGGGCTTTCACATTGAAGGATGCTCTGCAGCCATTAACAATAGTAACATGGACACGTTTGGCAGTTAAGAAGCACTCCACATCACACTGCTCAGTTTTTAAAGAATATAAGAACAAATATGTGGAGCCATTCTGTTTAAATAATATGTAGAAAATCTGAAAAGACAATTGCCAACATAGTATCATAGGCACCAATGTTGTGAATGAATAGTTTTTTGTGTTTTATTTTTTTGTTTGTTTTGTTTTGTTTTGTTTTGTTTGTTCTCTGTGTAGCAGCTCTGGCTGTTCTGGAACTCACTTTGTAGACCAGGCTGTACTCAAACTCACTGAGATCTGCCTGCCTCTGCCTCCAGAGTGCTGGGATTGAATGTGTGCTCCAACCACCACCTGGTGTGGATGAATATTTTAACTTTTATACTATTTGCTTTTTTGATGTTTTCTATGTGTTAAATATTAAGTTGTGGCTTTTCTAAATAACTTGAATTACTGGAAACAATGGGGTATCTTTAACAAAAATTCTTTGTCCTGAATAAAAGTTCTTCTCTAGGCAAGTGGGAGACTGGTCTGCTTTTCTTGGAACTAGTTGTTCTTGATTGTCAGGGGACACTATCTGACTATTGCTTATCCTTTACAGAGGAGCCAAGGGAAGGAGTCAGAATCGACAAACCCACCTCATTCTGTTGACATTTCCCAGAAAATGTGGTTTCTTGGGTGGGGGTGGGGTTTATAAAGTCATCTTCCTGTTGGTTTTGTTTTATTATTTCATTCTGTTTCATTTAGGCAGAAGCTCAGACTGCCAGTCCCAAACTCACTATATAACCAACTAAGATCCTGAACTCCCAATTCTTCTGCCTCCCTTTCTCACATGCTGGGATTACAATTGTATACCACCATACTGGTTTATATGGTCCCTGGGTTAAAATTCAGGGTTTGTGCATGCTAGGCTCTAGCAAATGAGTTACCTCTTTAGCCCTAGTTATGTGTATTTTAAATTTTACTTAAAAAGCATAACTACATCTCCCACTTATTTAGAGATCATATTTTTGATGGGATGTCCTGGTATCAGTTGCTAGCAGGAGGAGTCTAGAATGTCTACATTGTGTGACTGGCAATATCCTTTCCCAGAACTGCTTGGAGACAAAATGCAATTTCTCACAAGCTTAGGACATGACTTTAACATCTGCAGAAGCCAGGCACTCAGAGGATGCTCCCTGAATATTTGATGGGGAGGAAGATGATGCGATAACCGTGGACCTTTCCTGGGCAATAGCCTCATCCATCCCCTGAGAAATAGTGGCTGACAGCACAGTATAGGTTCTTGTTCCTTTCTGGAAGAAAGGTTTTCTCTCTAGCAGACTGACCAAGGCAGAGCGGAAGATGTGAAAGAAGCTCCGGATCTCTTCCTGACTAGTTCATGTTGAATTCACCCCCCCCTCCTAATTTGTAAAGGTCCTCTGTTTCTTTACCTTGCTTCTGGCTTCCAGTTGGAGATTGGCCTGTGATATTCATTACTTTCTCTTTTCAAATTCTTTATCTTTTTTTTCCTTTTCTTTCCTCCCCACTTCTCACTACTGTAATTGCCAGTTATCCTACAGAGCACCTGGTCCTTTGAGGTGCAGCAATTTAAGTATATTGTCTTAGTTTCCTTTTATGACATCCTGTAAGTTTTATAGAAAAGACAGTGAGATTCAGGAGGAGACTGTTAATGAACAGTCATCCCAGTAGTATTTATTTTCCAAACCTTCTCTATTTTCAGTAGTATTGGCTGGCCCAGTGGGTAGCCATGGGGTGAGGGGATATAGCAAGCTGTCAATCTCCTACACAACTAATTCCATGTGCATTTCAACTCAAAAGACACTTTGGGATAGCCCTTATTGATAATGTGTCCATATTTCACAAAAGACCAGGGAATGGGAATCTTCCCATTGCTGAAACCATATAACTAGGGCATGAATTCTGCTTGAAGGGCTACCTTAAACTAGCTGAGCTGTTTCTAAAAATAGTTTACCCTTTAATATTTTAAAATATTTGTTTTTTTAACTTTATGTATATGTGTGAGTACCTGCATGTATCATATTTGTGCCTGGTGCCTGTGAGGCCATGAGATAAAGTTGGATCCCTTGGAATGGGAGTTACAGGCAGTTGTTCTTCTCCATGTGGGTGCTGGGAGCTGAACCCAGGTCCCCTGCAAGAACATCAGGTGCTCTTTAACCACTGAGCTATCTCTCCAATCCCCTGAATGCTTTTATTTACGATTTCATTATAACTTAACTTTTTATAATTCTGATATTAGAAAGCAACTTTAAATTATAGCTTTGCATAGGTCTTTGCACATTTGTTAGTGTATATTATTTTTGTATGATGTTTAGAATGCCTCTGTGTGAAGGGGCCAAGTGCAAGGATAAAAGTGATGTTCTGAGAAGTCAAAGGCTTTTACCAAAGGGAAAAATATTTTAGGTATCCTGATTGTGAATACAGTCTACACCCCACACAGATTTCTTTTGAGTTTGTGGAGATATGTGTGAAAGAAAAGGTATTTGCACTTCCTCTCAGACTGTTCCAGAACCTAACCTTAGGGCTGACTAGCTAGGCAGTAAAGGTTGCCACACCCAGTCATTCTTCATGTGGCTAAAGCTGGATTTTGGGGGTGCACACCTTTAATTCCAGTACTTGCAAGGCAGAGGATGGCAGATCTCTGTGAGTTCAGTGCCAGCCTGGACTACAGAGTCCAGGATTGCTTCATAGGATTATAAGGATGCTTGTGACCTAATGTACTTTCATATAAATGGGGAAAACATTAAAGAGAAAGCCACTCTGTCAGCATTTATCAGATTTAGGAGTCTGCCAATTTTAAGTTTTACCTTCATTACAGAAAAGGGATAAATGTGGAACTCTGGATCTTTAGCTGTGGTAACTTTTATCATTGTTGGCTGTGACATTCTGATGTTTTCAAAATTCCTTGAATTATCTCTACAGTTAAACCCAGGAAATGAATATAATCTCCATTTTATAGATGAAAGTTGGGCTGGAGAGATGGGTCAGTGGTTGGAGCATGTACTCATGAAAAGGACCCAATTTGATTCCCAGCATCCATGTAGGATTGTTCACAACCACCTGTAAGGTCCAGCCAAAGTAGATCAGATGCCTCTTCTAGACTTTTGAGGCATGCAGGCATGCACATATGCGTGCACACAGACAAACATACACTAGCTAAAAAGCTAAACTACTTGCTGACCCTTAAGTGAAGCTTGGTTGACCCAAAGATTGGCTGTTTCAGTAGTCCTCCCCAGGTGGCATGGGGCTTCCTTTAAGAAAGGATTTATGGTTTTGTCTCAAGTGAAGTTTAGAACCCAGACAGTTTTATAAAAACAGATTATTGGTTCTATAGCACCAATTATATCCATAGAAACGCTGTAACTGTGACTCTTCTCCTGCTTTCACTCCCATACAGTCACACTAGATCTTGCCTGGGATGTCTAATGCACATCTTTGAGGTCAAGTATCTCAGATAGAACATTTCATATGCTTCCTGCTCTCCTCTGGTCTCTCTATCCCAATAGCACACCCACTCTCACGGATACTTGAACCCAAATCCCATGTTATATCCCCCAGTTCTGGATGTGCTCACACTTTACATGCCATATCTGGTCATGATGTTCCCCTCTTCCAGCTTCTCCAGTATGTCCAGTTCTTAACCCTTCCTGTCAGTTTTGCTGGTGATCCCTCATGGAGCGTTCGTCACTCCTTGTCTAGGTCTAGAATGTACTTCGGCCTTCTATGTGGTTTCCCTCTTTCAGCCCCAGCTTGACAATAGTTCTCTGTCTACCCAGCAGCCATGACAATGCTTCAAAACACATAAAGCTAATGAAAATTCTTTTCTGCTTCCACATCTTTATGTTAATCAATTCTGGTCCTTCAGCAGGGCTGATGTTCTCCAACTATACTGACTTTAGCCATCTTTTCTGGTTAACATTTTCTTCCTGTCTTTCAAACATATCAAACATCAAATCTGTTTTGATTTTAGGAATTTTGTACTTTCTATTTCTTGCTCCCCCCCATTAGTAATCTTGTTTGGATCTGACTATCTTGATTGAATTTTTTGTTCAAATATCAGGTTTAATTTTACTTTCTCAGACAGTATTTTGTTAAAACAGCCAAATTCAAGTAGCAGAATGCAATCTATCCCTCCTTAGTTTTATGTTTTCAACTTCTTTATTTCATCTTTTGTGTTTGTGTTCCATGGGAACAATGAATACTTTGATATATTTCTAACCTCTTGAGCAGTATTCAATACATATTAAGGAAATTAGTTAACTAATAAACTATATCTCTGTGAACTTTAACACCTCACACAGTAATGAGATTAAATAAATGTTTAGCCCAATCATTTTCACCATGGAAAGATCTAGCATTTTATTTCCAGTTTGGCTAGCTTGTGCACATAAATTTGATAGGAAACAGACACAGGTGAATTCCTAGATTCAGTCTTAGTCTAGAAGATGAGGAACTTACCTAATTTCATAATTATTAAGTTGCTTGATTGCATTCTTGGCTTCCTGCTTATTTGAGAATGTTACAAATGCATAGCCTCTGTTGTTGCCATTAAAATCCATCATCATTCTCATTTCATAAATTTTACCAATCTGTAATGAATAGAAACAAAACATTCCTATTTACAGAGTTATATTCCCAAATGTACATGTGGACACACACACACACACACACACACACACACACACACACACACACACACACACGATGTTTACTGAATTGTCTCCTGCAATGTTTGACACTTGTATCCACGGGAGATGGTTTGCATTCTTTCATGGTGCCTTCAGATTAGTTATCTAACTCTTGAGGAAAAAAAAATTTTGTTTTTTTGAGACATGTAGTGAGATATTCCCTTTGTCTGCTTCTGTGGCACTGACCACGCCCATTTGGGGGTGGAGCCAGGGGCGGAAGTGACCTGTGGAACTAGGTCTCAGGAGGAGCCTGGGAGCACTCTTGCTGGCTTGGTAGGGAGAGGAGAGCATCCGGTAGAACTTGCTGGTGTTCATCTGTCTAGGTTGTAAGTTATTTCTCCCTGAATAAACATCTATTCGGCCTATTTGTTTATCCTGACCCTTATTATACCACGATAGAGACAGGGTTTCTGTGTGGCTTTGGAGGCTGTCCTGGAACTACCTCTTGTAGACAGACCAGGCTGGTCTCAAACTCACAAAGATCTGCCTGCCTCTGCCTCTTGAGTGCTGGGATTAAGGGTGTACACCATCATAGTCTGGCAGGAAAAGCCAAGTTAAATAAAGAAAATATAGACAAATGGTATTTCAGCCTCAGCTAGTGAAATATGCTTTTGAACAAATGACCTTTGTCATACAACTATCTGGAGATTTATGTAATGGCTTAGGAGCCCAAAATGCATTTGTCATCAGAAGTACATTTTCTTGCTAGATTCACCCGTGCCTTCTGAGTTGTCTTCTAATGTCTCGTGGATTGACCTTTACTTGGTTATAGACTGTCACTGACATTTCAAACAGGAAACAAGGATGCTCATTGGGGACCTGCTAAATTAACCTCCTGGTTGTCTTTTTCCTGCTGTCACGATGTCAGAATGAATATAATGTACCTAATATGGAAGTCTCTTGTTTTAGCAATTTCTAGGTTGAAAAGGAATGCTAACCTCAGTACAACTGACAGGTCAGAACTTCATAGCTCTCCATCCGTTCTATTGTCCTTCTGCTTGCTCTTGCTCTCCTGCTCCTGTACTCCAACTATCAAACTAATCCAAGCTAAGCTGTCTATTACCTGTAACTTTTGTAAGCAGGGTGGTTCAAATACATTCAGTAGATATGTGAGAGGAGATGTCAGGAAGCCTGCACATTCCTTCTGTCTTGGCTGCCCTTGGTTTAGCCTCACTCTACTCAACTCCAACAAACTCATTGAAGAGCATCTATTTCTTCTTGGTGAAAGAGGGAACATTTCTTCCAGTTTTATGTGTCACCCATTCTCATTTTCGTGTTAAGAATAAAAACATGTGCAGGATTTGTGCTATGCCATCTGAGATTCTGTGTATAAAATCGGTGGCTTTGAACCACAGACTGCACATGGTGACAACTTATTTTCATCATTTAGGGGAAGAGGCAAATTCTCATGCTAAATGTGCTTGCTAGACAAATATACCTGGCAAAGTATGAAAAATTAACTTTAAGATTGTATTTTTTCTAAAATTTTGAGAATAGTGTCAAAATGCCATTTGGAATAAAGGAAATGTTTCCCTTAGTAATCATATAAGGATATTGAATAATCATGTTCTTAATCTGTTCAGTGCATTAAGTAAGATAACCTTACTTAATCAAGTCTACTTGCAGAAGAAAATTTTATTTGAATAAATATGTACAGGCACAAATTTAAGCCATGACAAGCATACATAATTTCTTATATGAAATGCTGCACTTTATAAAGTCATATTAGGATGTCAAGTTGGAGCAGTATCTTATATTTGACAATTGCTACACTGTTCTGTATTGTTAGATACATTGAATTTGCAGTGATTCAGATGCCAGGAGAGAGATGGGGAAGAGAAATGAACTTGAGAGTTGTCAGTCATTATTGTTCAAGTTATCAGTTCAACATGGCAAAGAGCTGGACAAAGGCATCAATAGTAAAGGGGCAATGGTTAACAGATGGGAAGGTTTTAATGCTGTCCATATTTGATGTGAGAGATATGGGAATCATCAACCTGGGCCCTGGGGAGATGGCACAGTGGGTGAAGTGCTTGCCTTATAAGCACGAAGACCTATGTGAAGCCAGATGCAGTAGACGACATCTGTAATCCCAGGGCTCCTACAGTGAGCTGGGAGTCCTGCACAGGAGAAATCCGGAAGCCCAAGAGCTAGCTAGCTTTGATTATGCAGTAGTTAACAATAAGAGACCCTGACTCAAACAAAATAAAAGGTGAAGTTAGACACCGATGCTGTCTTCAGACCATCACAAATGTGTTGCCTTAATCCATACCCACACACATGGGCATAAATACACACCACATTGTATACATACATACATTTTACACAGAGCTTTAAAAAAAGTTGAAAAATAGTAAAAGCATACTAAAGAGAATAATATTTTTCTCCTGAAAGAAAAAAAATCTAATTTGGACTCACCTTTTCACACAATGGTATGAGTTCATCCTCAAAAAGGTCCCGGGGAAGTTTTCCAATAAAAATCTCACAGCCCCTTTCTGGGGGTGTAGCATCCCAGCCTGGTGGAGGACCTCCATATTTTCTTTGCCCATTTTCCTTTGTCCAGGGAAGATGATGGAAGAGGGAGAGAAGAAAATATCAAAATCTTTAGTTTGTTCTCCTTATTTTTTAAAAAAATATCACTTTAGTTAAGGACTATTTTAGGGAATATTTGTCATTGTCAAGTAATAGTAGTTGGCTTGTAGAAAAAAAATGTTAAAGACTTGTCTATGAGAATCTTAACACTTCTCTGCCTCAAAGGCTTGCTCAAGATAAACGTGACTGACGCTTGTAAAGTACTGAACAATACAAGAAGTTATTCAAGGATGCCTTTATACAGCGTCTCATGGGCCACAGTGTTTTAGAGTGAGTGTGCACTCTAATACAGAGAAGTGATCCAAACCCTATGGGTCTACACAAAGGCACAAGCAATTTTTTTTTGTCATTTCATCTTACTGTAGTAAAATACTGAACTCAGTCCCACCTTCTTAATGATTAAAGAGATAGGTTGTCCTATTGTTGTATAAATGTCCCAAGGTAGGCCATCACGTGATCTGACTGTCACTGAGATCTGGGCTCTGATTTAGCTTTATGGTTGTGTGTAGTGGCAGCACACTTAGACTCCATTCATTACTCACTAGCTGTGGGACTTTGGGCAAATAACTACCTCTCAGAACCTCACTTTTCTCATGTGCAAAGTAGCTGTAACAACTGCCTTTGTCCAGAGGGTAAACTGCATTAAATAGGCAAGGTTGGCCCTTGGCCCTTAGCCCATAATCAATACTCAGCTATTACTGATTTCCTTCTTCCCTCTTCCATAAGCCAAGCAATATAGAGGCCATGTGAATAGAAAAACATGAAGTTAACACCTAGGGAGGTCAACTGGATAATTTTGGGGGGGGGTTGCTGCTGCTGAATGATTTAAGTCTGTTTCTAAAGGTGACAGTGTGGTAAGATGTTTCCTAATGCTGTTTATGGGGGCGGGCAATGATGTTCTCAGTTCAAAGAACACTGACTTCTCTATTTCTCTCAGACCTCTTTTTTTTTTTTGGAGAGGAATGGCACTAACATTTTCCTTCAGTGGCAACAACCTGTTTTCCTAGGGGTTAAAGACCAAAGTGCGGGCATAGTCTGGTGCTGCTGGTCTGAAGTTCATCTGTTGAAGGAAGATAAACAAGCCACAATGCACTTCAGCATAGGTGGAATACCAGATCATTATGTTTTAGTGTGACTATTAAAGGTTCCAAATGATGACATTCATTACAAAAGTCACCATTAATATATTAGGTAGTTTTGTGCCAGGATGCATGGTGTTGTGTAGCAAACATAATATACAGAGTGGAAAGGAAAATGGCCCAGTGTATCACTCCTGTCGTCCTCAAGAGTAATTGCTGGCAGAAAATTTAATCTGCCTTACCAGCTGTTTTCTGTGTATACTTTTGAAAGGTATCTTTTAGTTTAAGAACATCATTTTGTGAGGCAACTGCTTATCATTAAAAGAAATAAATAAATAAAGCAGCTTGTAACATCACTTCTAGGCTCTGTCTATACCAAATCATTTTAGAAATGATTTATTTACTTTTATGTGATGAGCAATGCCTTGTTTTCCTGCATGAATGTCTGCATAAGGGTGTAGAATACTCTGGAACGAGTTAAACAGTTGTGAGCTGTCATGTGGAAGCTGGGAATTGAAGTCGGGTCCTCTGGAAGAGCAGTCAGTGCTATTAACCGCTAAGCCATCTCTCCAGCACCAGTTTTCCATTATTTTGTCAGAGCTTTCCCTAACAGTATTTAAAAGATGTCTGCGGTCAGATACACCTTTTTATTTTGAGTTAACTTATATGATGTTGTCTTAAATAATACAACAAAGGATGTATTGCCCTGGTTACATTTTGCTTCAAGCCACAGGACATGTTTCATCTTACTAAATCTTTAGAGCTTCTCCTAGAGAACACTTGTAATTTCTTATCCTATATTCTTAAAGGGTTATCTAGCAGCAAAACTTTAATATCACCACCAAACCTGAGAAATGACGTATTTTATCTTAGTAAAACAACAACTCCCCTGACAATAATGTGGTATCTGTGCCTCAACCAAGCGTTTTCTAAACATGTCAATTTGAAATTTGTGAAGCTGGTTTTCTAGCTAATGCCTGGATATCAGCTCCTGAATGCTACATAGTGTTCTAGCCTCAGAGCTGTGTCCTGGCACAGGAACGATTGCTGTCCCATTTTACAGAAGATACAAAGTCCCAGAGTGATTTGCTGAGGTCATAGGGTGGTTATGCAGAGAAGCCAGGGTTTGAACACAGAAAATCAGCCTGAGTTCATCAGCTTAATACCTACATATTATGGCCTTGATGCTGGAATGCCTAGGAACTTACAACCGACACAGACGTTAAACTCAGTGTATGAAAATGTCTGTCTTGCCATTAATCAGAAAGTGATCTGCCTCACATAAAACTCTTTCCAACTTCCAATCATTCAGTTACACAAAATTTTGGGGAGAACGTATCTCACTCTGATTGTATAAAAAAGGGTATATACCCTCTGTAATCAATCCCCCTCCCCACCCGGGGCCAAATCTCGCCATTTGGGTGACAGCTATCCCTCTTATATTCTTTCTTGTGCATTTCAGATATTTATAATCCTAACTAATTGTTAGAACACACAGCATAGATTTGTTCAATATTTTTACCCCTTAGATTGAGGGAATCAAAGTCATGTTCCACAATGGTAAAGCAACTCTTCTGGAATCTTTGATCACATGAGTGTTTTTTTTTTAATTGAAAATAAATAAGAAGTGAGTAGAGTGACCTTTTAAGGTTTGTTCCCATTGTCTTGGTTGCTGTAGTTGCAGAAAATAATAATGTATATGAGTATGAGAGCTCCATTTGCTTATGTGATTAAAAACTTATTAATTATGTTTTTATGGTTTCTATAAACACATGAAAAATGTCCAATGATAGTCTTAGGGATTGCAGAGTCCAACCAGTCTAGAGATGCTCTGAAGTTCAAGCAATGGGGAACATTTGCCCTGGGAACCACCCACTAGGCTTGGAATGCACCAGCAGAAGTCCAGAGCAATTTGAGGCAGGCTCTGGGCATTAGTCACAGGGTCAGAATAGCTGTCCATCACTCTGCAAGGACAGTGGACTGATATTTCAGGCCCTATTTTTATAGCTGAGGAGTTTAAAATAGGTAAAGCCAGACTAAATCTGTGCCTTTCTCTCCTGGCTGATGCCCTCAGGGCCTTACTCTCCTCACTAACCCAAACATATTCATAGTTTAGAAAAACAGACTAGAAATATTTTCTTAGAGATTTTTCTTTTTAAATATGAGAGAATGTTTATCAAACTCTGGGAATTTTACCTTTCTTTACAGCCACGTTTTTCAAACCCCTTTCTGTTTCCACAGCCACATAAATAGGCAGAAAACTTTGAACTGTCTAATTGAAAACTGAAGACTCACCCTAGTTATAAATCCAGTTTCTTTTTTAGGTATTGCATGCTGAGGCTGCCTGGTAACTTAGCTTATGTCAACAGTGTTTAGAATTCTCCTCCCCACAGATATTTCAAGTTCTTCATGATGAAATTATGGCTACCATCTTCTCAACTTTGGTTAAAACCAGATAACTGTTTAATAGGTCATTCTGAGCAATAAATCTTAGAAATAACGCTGAAAACTGTTTATTTTGTCCATCATGTAGCAGAATCTATTGTACACTGGGAAACTCTATCTTCTGGAGGCTTCAAAAATGTCAGCTATTTACTTTTCTAGCTTTTGTTGCAGCTTGGACGGCCATGGCTTATAGTGTAATAAAACTGAGTTCTGATCCAAAATCTGTAATAGTTCAAAGTTGAGTGAAGGTGGGTAAATTTTCTCATTGTTATAAATTTGATGTGATTTTGGGTATCATTCATAAATTTTCCCTTAACCTCGTTCTCAAAATCCAACTTTCATCAGCATCTAGGCATGGAGCCTTGTAAAATTTAAATACATGTACAATGCATGTTATATATGTAGTATATGCATTTATAGTATTTATAATAAGGGATATACATGTAATGTATAACATACTGAGTCCATGTAGAGTTGCTTGTATGTATGTATGTAATAATAACAAGGAAGAAATCATGAATATGAGAGGGAGTTGGAGGATGGGAAAATTTGGAGGGGAAGAGAGAGGGGTGGACATGATGTCAATACAGTTATGAAATTCTCAAAAAATTTAAATGAAAAATAATCCAAAGTTTTAAAGATTTAATACCATTTTAACATAAGACTTTCTGTTTGACTAGCTAGAATTGACTCCTGTTATTTGCACATAAAAATAATGTCAACAAAGCAGTAGTTGGCTATCAATAAGCCAGGCATTACATAAGTCCTCGAATGCATCAACTCACACAGTCTTCCTCATGTGTGAATGACATACCCTAGACACAGAGTCCACCTAAATTCATGCACATAGTATTAATGGCAGAGACACAAGTGAATCCTAAGACCACGCTTTTAGTTTCAATATTGTTCTTCATGGTTCATACATTATTAGCCTGTACTCTCATTTTATGGGTAAAAATCAGAGGATTGCTATGCTCTGCCCACCTATGGTTCTGGACACTCATCTTGATGCATTGCTCCAATATCTAGGTGCCTGTTGTATTTTAGATATAAACTGGGAGGCACTTGGCAGACACAGTCATGTGTTTTGGGCTTTTACCATCTGTAGTTTAAGCAGTAGCCTCTGAGTATAAACTACCGATAGTGACTTCCATGTAGGGTTGCATCAATAAACATGGAGTACTGAAAAATTTGGTGTCAACAAAAAGTTTCTTGACACTCAATGACCAAAAAAGAATTCAAAAGCAAATGCATGATGGATCCCTGTTTCTGGGAGGGCTCGCCTGTATTGCATCCTGAAACTTTGCTGCAGCCCTGTTTGTAAACAGGCAGCATGTACGCTGTCCATTGTGCATGCCAGCATGTGCTCAGTGCCACTGGGCATTACCCAATACACCTGGGCTCAGATTCAAAACTGTCATATGTCACAAATTACAG